TTCCAGTTCATGATGCATTGGTGGCTTTAACAGCATCTTCTACTGAATTAGCTCACAAACTGAGAGTTTGTCAACAAGTCTGTGAACAGATTTCTGCTTGATCTTCAGAAAAACAATCAGTGCTCAGAAACTGCAGTTATAATCACTAATTCCAAATTCATATGGTGTTAATATACTTTAAGCAACAACTGCAATGCTTATGGGTACAAATATGCTCCTTACTGTAGATACTGAATGCCACTGTTATGTCAGACCACAGGATAGCTCCTCTTGATATATCCAGATATCTTAACTGGTGTTGAATCTAAGATGACAATGCAGCTTCCCAAAACTGTGTTAGTCCTGCATTTCTGACAGGCATTTGATTTTACTCAGATTGTAAAAATCATCTTCATGCCCCAAACCTAGAATCATCTATTCCAACGGCAGAGTAGTTTAARGACAGACAATAGATTACTATAAAAATTTCCAATATTCTTTCTGAAGTGTGCAGATGGGCACAGTGGATAGCACAGAACAGTTAATTAGCACTTTCCTGAGTTAACATCATGCCTTTGCTTATCTACACACTGGAGGGAGCCTAAAAAAAGTGTCATCTAAACATTCAAATTTCAGTCCACCACACACATACACATCYAAGAAATCTTATAAACCAAACCTGTCTAACATAAAATGGCCTTACTGTTGGCAATCAAGTCCCAAACAATAAAGTGACTGGTATAGCATAAATGATGACACACAGGTACATGTAAATAAGAATACAAGAGGTTTTTCTATAAAGATCTAGTTCACTAAATATTGTAAATGTTTTGCCYGCGCTACAGAGACATCAATAAYGCAGTGATGAATAAAATTGCATTTTTTTTTTATCTTCCTCCTACCTCAAAAGGTTGCTGTCAATGTTACAACCATGTGATTTTTAAAACTGCTGACCCAAAGGTAGAAGCAGAGATGCAAAGTCACTTACTCGGACACACAGAGGATGGTTTCTTTGCCTTCTTGCACTGAAATTTGAACATCATTCTTCACATGCTCCACCGTCAGCAGAGCTCCTTGAAAAAAAGAGAAAAAGTTACTGAACTTCCTTCCAGGAGAGATACCTTTCACAGTTACAACCAACCAGTTACATCTCTTATCCACTACGACCAGGTGACTGAACTGGCTCCTTCCAGTCAGATTGCCCAGGGAAACAAAAAAAAAAAAAATCAATGTTCATGAGAGCCTTCTTCTTGGCAATCCTAACAGCTTCAAATTGATAATGTCCAGCACACAATGATCTGCAGTGAGCTCAGCAAGTGTCCACTGCTACACATTTTGCTTCCTAAGAATACAGCAAAAATTAGTCCTGTCTCCCAGTATATGAGAACATAATCAAAAAGCTTTTAATTATTGAACAGTATTACTAATGTTCTCCATCCCAGCCCTGACACATGCATCAATGGAGATCAATTACTGAATATACCAGTACCTTCTGAACAAGGATGAGACTATTTTAACCTGATTTAAAGTTTATGAAGAGATTAGCCATTCAAAACCAAGAAACTTTATCCATATAAAAGTGCTGGGAGCTTACACAGGGTTTTCAGAGTAAGTAGTTCACCAGTGACAGTGAAAAATGGTCTCCCGAAAGAAAAGAGGTTTTTAGGCTACACCATTGACTGGAAGACAGCTCTGCCCATATGCAARGGGGCTTGATGCAAACCTGCTCTGATCTTAACGCTCTACAGCACGCCACAGCAGCTCAAACAAAGCACCAAGCTCACTTGGCTGCATTTCTGCACTGGCTCTGGTCCAGAGTCAGCCTGCTGAGCATAAGCACAGGAGCTTGTGCTCTTTAACTTTGCTCAGAAGCACGTACAAAGGCAGCAAGCTTTTCCTTASGCAAACCAGCCAAAGGACTGTACTCGAGGTCTGGAAAGGCAGCTAACCTGTTACAGCCTCCACAGCGTGCTGTGCACTTCGTCTTCCCTAGAACAACACTCCAGCTACCGAGGCAGATGATACTATAAGCTATTAATACACTGGCCTAAATACAAACCACTGGAGCTAGGAATTCCCTAGCTCTCACTTCTGCTCAGCTGAAAACCCTTCTTGTGGCATTAAGAGTAAGTCAAGGTCCCTCTTCTCATCCCTCAGCTACCCATCTGTGAAATTTAGGATGACATCTCTTATGCAGTGTTAGTAAGACACCTAAGTATTTTAATTGCATGCATGGAAATGCTTCGAAAATTACAAGTACCATGTGCACCAAGCTATGTAATTAATACTAGTGACATTAAAAGCTACTGCACTTTTCCCATTGCACAGCAGACATGATGAAGAGTATGAAGCAGGGATGAGTAGGATGAGCGTGCCTGCCTTCTTGATATGTTTCATCTGTAACACGTAATATTTCTGACACAATCATGCAATCTCCTGAAATAAGCCYCTAGTGCCACTCGCCAGCTGTCAAAAGCAAGTAAGTCTCCAAARCCCCTAAACGTGATGTTAGTCATAACTCATATTGCATCATTTTCTTTTTTGGCAAATYAGTATAAACAAGTACCAGGAGAAATTTTATTTAAAACTTTTATGTTATTATACCTTGAATCAGYAGTCATGCAAATTGTATTCAACTCTGAAACGCATTTGGGAATAACACCAAGAAAAAGAAATCAATAAACTCAGATGAAGAACAGGAAGAAAATTTATTTTGAATAGCTGTAACAAAATGGAGAAATTGTATGGAACACATACAAAAGATTGTTTCCAGATGGCTGAAAGTGCAGTGAAGGAGGTTCTCGCATTTTTAAAGGCAAAATAACATCGAAGGGCAGTGAGCAACTGAGAAAGCAAGATTTCACAGCGCAACTTCGAGCCAGCTYCCCAGAGAGGAATTTTAGCAGCAGATTAGAACTGAAATTGAAAGACAGCAGCCCAGTGGCAGAGCTCACGAACAAGCAATGTGAACTAGGGCTGCCTTGAAAATTCAGCCTCAACGTGTCAAGTCACCCGAGGGCTGTACCCGTGCCCGAGTTCGTTCTTTATCCCGGGCTCAGCCCAGCGCCGCTGTCACCCGGCCCGAGCAGCTGCCCTGAGGGACCGCTGGGGACCCGCGCCCCGCCGGGACCAGGGCCGCAGCGGGCACACGGCCCGGGAAGGGCGGCGGGGATGGGAAGGACGGGAGCAATGGAAGGACGGGAGCAGTGGGAAGGTCGGCAGCAATGGGAAGGACGGGCACGGGCCCCGGTCCCGCCTCGCCCGGCCCCGCACGCGGGGGCAGCCGGCGCCGCATGATGCAACACGGGCGGGAGGAAGGGAGGGAGGGACAGAGGGCACCGAGCCCCGCCGGACCCCCGGCACAGCGGCATCGGGGCGGCGCGGGGCGAGGCGCGTCCCGCACTTACCGAGCGGAGGGCTGCCCGCGTCCACCGTGAGGCTCAGCGCCGCCATTCCCGCCGCCAGCGCCGGAACCGAGGGAGGCAGCGGGGCGGGGCGCGCAGCGATGCCAGCTCGGCAGGGGCCGGCGCGGCCCGGGCGGCCCGGCAGGACCCGCCCCGGGGCGGGGGAAGMGCCCGTCACTTCCGCGGGAGAAGCYGTAGGGGCGGYGGAGCGGGAGGWGRTGGTGTTTGGAGTGTTCCTTCTCCGCCGGTCGGTCCGCAGTTCGCCGGGAGGAGGTGACGAGCGGGCGGCACACGGGACCTTCCCGGCCGCACCAGCGAGGCTCCGGGAAGCTGTCCGGGATGAGGGATGGGCGCTGGGTGAAGGCTGCCCTGCCCCTCAGCCGGTTCTTCCCGTCTCACAGCGATTAGGCTGAGCCATCCCGAGGGCTTCGCCTGCCAAAGCCCTTAGGTGGATGTCTGGCAGCAGCCGTGGAGATGCCTTCAGCCCCTTTCCGATGTGTGATGATCCGAACAAACAGAACAGCGCAACACGCATCGGCACGTTTGAGTACGGTGGTTTGATTCGTCTGGTTTTGTAGGATGCTACTTGTTAAACTCCTGACAAACGTGCAGATTTTGCAGCGGGTCACAGGAGTCCTAGAATATCCCGAGTGGGAAGGGGTCCGAAAGACTATTGAGTCCAACTCCTGGCCCTGCACAGCGTGGTCCAAACGCTTTTGAACTCTGGCAGGCTGGGCACTGTGACCACTTCACTGGAGAGGCTGTCCCCGTGCCCAGCCACCTTCTGGAGTCTTGCRATGAATTACAAAAATGCTGCGTCACCGGTTTTTCACAGGAGACTGGCTCAAATTCACTTTGTTGCAAGGACAATGCAGTGTCACTGTGATTCCCCCCCAATCTATTTTATAGCTGTTACTGTAGCACCTAATGTGCTAACAGACACATTAGGTGACATTATCAGATGCTTGATTGGTGAAGCAGTGCTTTTTGTGCAGTGGACCTAGTGGTAWAGCCAGAGCATGACTACACATTATGTGCTGGTTTTTATGCTTGATTGCTGCTGCTGGATTTAATATCAACTTTCCTTACTAYTCTCCTATGTTAGCAGTTTTATATTTCCTGTAAGTGTGGAAAGTATTTCCATATGTTTCCATGCATATCTTTACACACCATGCAGAAGCTGGTATATGCTGTGTGTTCTCCTTCCATTCAGGTAACTAAGTAAGCAGARRCAGAAATCACAGCAGAATTAGAAASAGGCTTATGCTGAAGGAATTTTTAAACCTATTGCACGTTTCAGATGAAAATAAGGATATAGAGGCATCAATGAAAATTACTAACACTAGGCTCTGTATTTTGTATTTTAACAATTACAGGGGAAGAATGATAAAGGCAGGCTTTGTGTTTTCTGAGTTCTATATTTAATCTTAATGTGTTTTACAAATTCACATGCAGATTTTGATGGGAATGTTAAAGCATGCATATCAAAGAATCCTGTGTAACATAAAGGTGAAAATTATATATAACAAGCAGTGAAATCACTGTACTTCCTATGCKGTTCAAACTTYAGTCACAATCAGTRTGTGGAATGACTAAACTTATAATKGGCCAAAATAYGAAGAAGGTTCTAATTAAAKCAGGCTGAATCTGTCCTGCATGCAMTAACTGAACCAGTTATGCAATTGAGGGAAGAGAAGAAAGGTAGGCTTTAGATCAAAGGATTAGAAGCACACATTGTTCCTATATATGCAGCTCTAATCCAGTGTCATGCTAGAATGARGTAAATGCTAATCTTGCTAATTTATCTGTAAACGTTAGGCTAAGATGACCTCACGAAGGAAGAGATTCTATAGATTCTCTTCCACATGTACACATGGAGAGACAGGAACACTTGAGCAAGAGTTGCCTTGTTCATCTCTTTTGGTGACAAGATGTGCCTGCTTCTTGGAAATAGTCAGCTTTAAGCCAGTGAAGTCATATTGGTGTTACCCTACTGCGAGGAAAGGATCTYATCTAAGGACTCTAAATGGAGTTGTTGAATATCTTGTGTGATGACAAGGAAGGAGTAAGGAAGTATTCAAGGAAGTAACTTGAATCCCCTGCGAAAAACTGAATTTTGAAATTTTCTTCTGAGTGGAAAAAAACATTTTGGCCCTTGGTGTGCTAATTTAAAGATAGTTTGTGTGGATGAAGGGTGTAGTTATTTAGAAGACCTAATCTTGTGGGCAGAGAGGAAGTGAGAAAGGGTGCAGTGCATCTTGAAGGCTTCTTTGGCATTCATGGTGCTCACAGAGGTTAAGAAAAAAAAACCCTCGTGGGAGTGCTTAGGGATTCAGTCTTTATGTAAGCAAGCAGCTGTGTTCAGGCATCCTCCCTGACACCACATACCTGAGAACCTGATATGTCACTCCTTTCTCCACATGGAGAACAGAAAAAGCAAAACTCTGTTTATTGAAACCGGCATCTCTCCATGTCCTGCCTCATTGTGTGTCACATTGTTAGGGAAAAGGGAGGCCCTAGGACTCCTTCATTTGAGAGTAAGGGAYTTGAGTCACAACATCTGGAGAAAACAAAGGGCATAGAGGCCTCACTGGTTCAAGAGCCTATTTCCAGAATCCTAAATTCAACYTGAAGAGACTTCACAGCTTTTGTCTAAATTGCCTGTTTTAGCTAGTCATGTGTAATTTACTACTTGTTCTCTTTTGTGTTCAAGTGGGCTGAGCAGTTGAATCCAGCTTTCCTAACATCCACATCTGTGGGAAAGCTGACTGAAACAGGACCTTCAATTTCAAAGTTAATTTTAGTTGCTCTTGGCCCTGTTCTCTCCCCTGGGACATGTCTCTGTTCCACAGCGGGGGAAATGGTACTGCTAGGTTCCTTAGCTCTCACAGCTGTTGGAAAGACACCTGTTTTATCTCAAAATTTGGACATGGAAAATTGCAAGATCTGGCATTTCTGTTATTYCCAAATATGCCAAAGTGACCTTGACTTTGGATGCCCAAAGTGCTTCAAGACTGCAGTGCTACAGACCCTGACAAAGGCATTTCAGATCATTAGGTGCTAGGATTGCCTGTCCCTGTCATGGTTCCTTGGGTTCTCCTCAACTGAGCTGTCCTGAACCCTGCTGAATTAACACTTCACTGACCCTCAATGAATCCAGTGATCCATGAACCCTTATTTGAGATTTCCAGGTCCAGCTGCACTGTGTCCTGCCTCCTGCAAAACTCAGACAAGCCAACAAACAACAGTCTTGGCCATCCCAAAACTCAATGCAGACCAAAAAAATTGAAAGATGCTGTTCTAAGAATCAAAATTGGCAACTTTATAAGAAACGGGCAAATCCATCCAAGCAAATCCTTAGTCCATTTGTATTTAACACAATAACCTGTAYTGACCACATACAACAAAAACCATGGAGCAAGATCATGTATATGACTTAACATGATTTTGTGCCCAGAATATTGAGATGACTTTTAATCTGCAGTGTTATGATTAGCAGAATATTACTCACAGTCACAAGGAATGAAAAATTCCAAAGAATACAGAAAACAACTATTGAAGAAATGTGATTGTTTTGATGATGTCTGCTCAACRCTGCAAAACAACCTGATCCAACACAGCGATTCTGTATAATTTTGAAATTATTGCACACCTCACTGAAAGAATTCAGTTCAGATTCTATGAAACAAAATTTCAAGCTTGGTCGTCTTCCCTTCTTTTTCTCCAAGCTCATCTTCTCAGCCTTCCAGGTCCAATGAAGATTCTTTCTGCTTTAAGGCACTARAGATTCTTTCACAGTGTTGGGAATACGACAGGCATAGTAGTCATAATTTCTCAAAGTGGCAAGGACCCCAGCTGAATTCATGTGTTTCACTTCCTTGTTATACTGAAATGAATTTCCACGGATATCAGTTATCTTGCCTGCAAAAACAGAGAAAAAAATATTCCAGCAAAAAGGAATTGGAGTCTATTAGCTCAAGTGACATAACTTTGGGGTGCACATGCCTGTCTTCAGACATGAAGTATCTTTGCTTCCAGTTTAAGAACAACAGGTTTTGTATTGATGAAAATCAAGTAACTAGTGGGTTTTTGTGTTTTTTTCAACAATACTTAAATTACTTGTGTCTCAGAAAAAGGAAAATGTCTCTCTCTCATGGATTACTAAAATGCTTCCTGATTAGCTTTTACACTAGCCAAAGACAAGAGGCAAAGAAAAAYCCTCATTTCAAGTAAAAACCAGAGTAAGTCTGTACCACAAACTCTAACATAATGTAGAAATACCCCAGCTGGTTTTAAATGAGGTTTTGGAAATCACTTACAAGAGCAACACAGCTCTTTATTCAAGCTCATTTAACCAGGAGATTCCTACCTAACAAAGAGGCTAAATACAGCATTGTGCTGCCCTGGATTGGTTGGGTTGCTTTGTGCTTGAGCTAACCCTGTTTAAAACTATCCCAGTTATAAACACTACAGACTGCAGAGGAGCTCAATAGTGTCGTTATAAAGCCTGTTATCCTTGCTTGACAGAATTTAGGATCAAACCCTGTAATTTTAGCAGATGGTGGTAAAAAGCCTATCAATGTGAAGAGTTTTTAAAAAATACTACTTCAAATCCTCATCAGTGAGTCTTTTCATAACTTTTCAACCCCTTAGCCCCTAGCTAAGTGAAGTGCCTCATGTTGGCTGAAGACCGCTAATTCTGCTGAATTATGTGAATGACTCAATTTTGGATCTTGTACATCCAAAGAACAACTGCATGATTTGACCTATTTTTGTGGGTTTAAAGAATTCAATGTCCACRTATTACATAACATGTTACTAATAATAAACTACTACACTCAGTTAGTAGGACAGCAGATTTTACTGTGAGATACTATCCAAGAGGAAAAAAAAGGGCATTTGCTTTGAAAGTATTAAAATAAATATACCCCCAATTTGGGGATTTGGCTTTCTATAATTATGTGACAGTTATTGAGTCTATTAGTCCAGGGCAGAACAGATCATATCATGCTTTTCAGACCATTTGACCCTTTACCATTACTGTTGATTTCAGAGGGCTCAAAGCTCCTAGTGAATAATAACTATTAAAAAATGCACATGTACTGTCATTTTTCTTTACATGAAAAGTATAAATAACTTCAAATCAATGCAGTCTCACTTATCCTGGAACTTTGAATGCCATGAACTTACCTCCCACAGCATGTAGRATAGCTTCAGGTGCACACGTATCCCACTTCTTGCACCCAGGACTGGCAAATACATAAGCAGAYGCCTTGCCTTCTATGAGTTGAATGATCTGTTACAAATAGAGTTTCAATCATTGCAAAAGATCTAGGCATTTAGAAATGGGTGGAAACAACACCAGGAAACAGGGATTAAATATGTCTATTTATATACTTATAGTCAGAAAAGGAACACCAGCCATTTTCTTATTAATATCACAAGAAATTTCATTATGATTTAGAAATCTATGCTGTATTACCAGTCTCAGTTCAATGTTTTTGATGGTTACCAAGACAGCTTATAGGATGAAAATCTGCWGTTAGTTTCAAAAACAGGAATTTACTTCTTGTGCAAGTACTTAGAAGATAAAGTGGAAACTGTTGTGTTAGTGCCATTTTGGGCCTTGCCCATATTGGAGAAGAGATGAGAGGGTGTGTTTCTGACAGCTATGACAACTAAGCTTTAAAACTGTAGCAAATGAGTGTTCTCTGTAAGCAGAGAAATTTCACAAAGGAAATATCTCAGTTTACTTATGTTTTGTCCTTTCAAATGTGCTGCTGGGGAGTTGGAACAAAAGCTGTATTAGCACAAACAGGGGCACATGTCTAATAATTGAGAGTAAACTGAATTCCTATTTAGTCATTCTGCTCTTACAATTTTTTGTTTTCACCCTAAAAGCAGAATACTGGGGAAGACAAAGCTCAGGCATGACCAGCATGGCCACTGGTACAAATACACCTGTACCAAATTCTCTCTACCTCACAGCAGCTTGACTGCTAGAAAAAGAAGTTGTGCTGGGGAAGGTTGAGGAAGTCTCCTGTACAATCATTCAAAATTTCTTCAAAAAGTATTTTAATTTTTTTTCAAAGATGCCACTTCCCTGTAAAAACAGAAGATTTTGAGTTTTCCTACCTTGTTTCCTGCTCCTCCAACTCTGATGACATGGTCTGGGTTCAAGGCAGTGATGCACTCATTYACCAGGGCATTGCTGTGGGAGCGGGTGGTAACGATGATGTGTTTGCCAGCAGGTGCTTCTGTGAGCTGAAAGCCAAAGGCACCCATGCCCAGGACTCCCCAGATTGTCCTGCCCAACACAGCATTGGCTCCTGCCTACAAAAAAGGWACAGAGGCCCAGGTGATGGTTCATCACACTGATCAGCAGTTAAAGCACTAAGGGGAAGGGGTACCTAGAGGTATCTTGGCATATTAGGGAGTATAATATTAATACTGGGCTATACATTTAAACAATGGCATTTAAAAATAAACTCCTCTAAAGCCCAGAGTGAGAAATAGGCTCTCTTTCCCTCTAAGGCAATGATACCACTGACCCTTTTCTTATCTGTGACATTGTAGTGATACATTACATCCTGCCTCCAGTGACTGGCAGATTAATATTTGTATATTTCTGTACTTCAGGCACAATCTGTAATTGAAAGTATCTTGTAATTTGAAGTATTTGGTGATACATATCACACAGAACATGATAGCATTACATCAGCTCAAGGGCTTTTTCTTTAAATTCCAGTAAGTTTAATTAATTAGGCTGCATCATGAGCTTCCCTGCCTTCCCCAATAATACTGAAATAATATCTGAATGTGTAAATGCCTGTAGGTTGGCCATCCTGGACTTACATTGAAACCTGTCATTATACACTCTAAGCCAGCTGTCAGTGACAATTTATGCTTGGTTTATTTAGGGCTGCAGATTTATGGCAGTTACCAGGCATTGCAAATGCACCTATTGCATGGATTTACTAAAGAATTTCYAGCAAAGACTGCAAACCCACAGATCTGTCCTTGTTTCACAGTATGTACTTTCTAGAGATTGTAGTAATCAGTACAGTATATATGTAATATATYCTGTGTTAGTGTTTTGCCCAAGTARGTTCCTGCCATTCAGTTCCTGGAAACCAGCATTTTAAATTGTATATATTTAATAAAAAMCCCCAATAACTTATATTACAATGTTAACTCCACTACATGCCACTTTTCAGTTAAAAGTGTGCTAATGGAAATGGCTTAAAAGTAACWTTTAGAAATAAACCTAATGCTTATAAATAAATAAATTATTTAATACCTCATAGTTGTAATATGGCTGGTTAATAACTCCTGCTATGGCTTTGCCTCCATAGGCAATTCCAATAAGAACCGTCACATGGTCAAGGAGACCTGGACAGAAATAACAGGAATGTAGTTATGCTTGAAAAGAGATATTTATAAAAACATAAACCTTTAGTAAAAGTCCACAAACCAATATGCAGAGTGGTATTTTAAAAATGCAAATACTAATCAGGATTTTCAGATCTTGATAAAATATTTTAGTCATTTAGCCTTGAGGKCTGCTAAAAAATATCCCAGATAGATTTCTTTTAATAGAGCTAAGTTATAATTAACACATAATGAGAAAGAACTTTAAAGATACAGCTACACAGCAGTATATGATGACATTCTTCTGTAATTGTGCTGGGAGCTGTTTAATGCAAAACAAGCAATTTGTTGACAGTTGAACATCTCTTACCCCAAAATGGGGGAAAAGATCTACCTAAAAGATTTTACATCAGTCAACTAAAAGATGCATAGGAGGCAAATGTGAGGTTTCAGCATATTGTTTCTTGGAGGCTTTTCTTCCCCCACCCCCTCTTTTTCTTTCATTTTAGGTCTATTTCTATGGTTAGAAATTAGCCTTTGCTGAAAACAGTTTCTTCCCATAACTGAAGAATCGTGATTTGTGGGAGAATGTCTGTTTCATTTTGAAAGGGCTACAAGTACAGGAGTGGTATTTGGGTTGTTTGAAGAGAAGGATATAAATATAAKCTATCATATTCCTGTGGCAAGGGGAGATTTAGTCCTTCAGTTCAAAGATATACAAAACTGTAAATTTGACTAAAAATTTAAGACAACCTGCCAGCCATCAAAGGCAGCTTTTGGCACTCTGAAATGATAAAAACTGGTCAGCACTCAATAACCCATTAGGAATATTCAGTACTAGTTAAAACTGAATGGAGTGAATAAATACATTCCAGGCACTCAAAAAATATAGAAATATCAGCCTCATGAAACAATATTGTAAGTAACTTTATGATAAAACTTTCTACATGTATATGCTAATTTATTACATTGCTGGGTTTTTTTATTAACAGAATTAAAAGAAAATCCAACCTTCAGTGTATTCCTTGGTTCCATCCAAAGGATCAACCCATATTACAAGCTTTAAGAAAATTAAAAATGGAAAAATTAACAAATATAAATAATGTAAATTACCATACAAAATACATATTTAACTTTATTGCTCTTATTTACTTATGGCAGTAAGGAAATAAAGAGATTCAAAATTTTAATATTATTATATGACTGAAGCCTATAATAGTATGCTACACAAAACAAAGCTTCAAAATTGACTGGAATGTCTTAGCAAATCTCTTAATAAAAGTATGAAGGATTAAACTGAACATGGGATGGATTACTTTCTTATGTCCGAACTAGATTCCTGCCAAATTAATTTGAATCACAAATTGCAAGAAGCCAATTTTCATTTCCCATTACTGCACAAAGGAGCATGCAGCATTTCCAGCTCTGGAAGTGAGATTCTCATGAGTACATTTCAGTTTTCAAATGGAAAATAAAAGTTGGCAACACTGAAAAAACCTTTCTTCTTTATATACTCTTAGCTAAAATCAAAATGTAATACAGGTGTTTTAAAATACAAAGACATAGGCATAGCATTACCACAGTACCTCTTCCTCTTTAATTCCTGTGTACTGAGCAGGACAAGGCTTCTTCAGTATTTCTTCACAGTGACCATCTTCAATTAAATCCTCAGTTACATCTTCAGTGGGCAGTTCCTAACAAAAGAATTCTCAGAATTATTAGAAAAATGGACTTTGGACTCACCTCAGTTTGTCTTAGAGTTGTGCATTTGACAGCAGCTTGACAAAGCTTATGAAATGAATAGGTGAAATGGCATGCAAATACCTTATGTTTGTTGCCTTTTGGGTTGATTTTTTTTTTGTTTGTTTAAATAAAAATTAAAACAGATGTTTCCCTAAACCCTGCCAAAGCAAATTCCAGTGCAAGCTACAGCAAGATAAATTGTTAGTATGAAATAGAGCAGGTACTTACTTCTTCTCCTATGATTGTCACCTTGGGAAACTTCCGTGCCAGGGAAGCACAAATGCTCATTTGTACCAGTCGGTCAGCTTTGGTCTGCAAGTCATTGGGTCCAGCCTGTCCAAGAATGGATAGAAATTTGGGTACTAAAAACCATATCAACCCAGCACAGCTCATACAGCACTCTGAATATCTGCCTTGTAGTGAAAAAGAAACCTCATTTGATAAATCTTCAACYTAGAAAGTGACCTTGTGAGAGGCAAGCTAAAAACTGCAAGAAGCAGAGTGCCCCTGTGCACCCCAGAACTAAGACAAACTGGTGTGACATTAGAACAGTGGATTTGGTGCMCCAAGGTGACATAAAAAAATGACTGCAAGCCTTCCCAATGTTGTATAGCCAATGCAATAATATTTTATATATTAATAACCTGCTACATAKKTAAAGTATATAACTTATTAACACTKTTTTCACCCTTTWYGCCCAGAGACATAATCCCAATAAAAAATAATTTTGTAAGCATTGGAATTTAGAAAGAGAGTTCATCCAAGATTTGCATCTCAGCTGAATCAAACAAAAAATTAACTCCTTGTATCTTATTTGCTGACAACATGAAAAGTGTTTTAGCCAGCTACAGAAATGAGTTGTAAGAATGGGATATTCCATTCAGAATGGATGGGTTAGTGTTTTAATTATGTTAAGGGGTAATTTTTGCATGCTAAAACTAGTCTGTCCCTTAGCCAACTGCTAATTTTATGAAACTTGATATTTTTCTTTGAAATTTCACTCTTGTCCCCTAATAAATTTGGTTGAAAAGGGTCCTGAGTTTAGACTCAAAAAAAATCAAGTTTATTGCAGAGAATATCCTTTGTTCCAGGACATTAACCTAATAAAACAGTATAAAGTACTTCTTCAATGTAAGAATGGGTGGACAAAGTGTCTACCTACCCACTGGGGAAAAAAATAATAAAGTACTACACAGAGAAACAATATAAATTGAGAGCTTAAGAGTTGACTGAGGAAAAGAAAACTCTGGATATCAGGAGATGGCTRAAAACTCAGCTGTCCTTGAATTAGATAAATGGATGGAAGGTCACCATGTTGAGGGAAAAGGTGGAACATTGCCTTCCTAAATGTTCTAAAGCTTTCAGGAAGGCCAGTTGGATCTGCTCTTGGTGTTTGCTGGCTGCAGAAAGAGGATGAATATGAGAAGCAGCACTTATGTTTCTTTCTGTTCTGCATCTCTTCCCTTCAGACTGCAAAGCAGAGGCACATGCAGAGGCTCTTCTCCATTCTTCCTCTTCCTTCAGCAGTCGCCTTTGGCAAGAAACTTGCAGGAATTTCAAGATCTCTAGTCCCTCAAACAGGAACCTCCTCTGTTTTCATTGTTTTCAATCTAGTTTTGTGTGTTTGTTACTACTTCATTTTTAAAAAAAAATTAAAACTATGTGTAACCAGTTTTACTTAGAATCARTATCACCCATTACTTCTGATCATTTTTGAATAATGTAAATACCTGCAGAACCCTCATTGTAAAGACCAAAAATAATATATATATTTAATGAAGTCCATAATACTGTGACAYACCTGTAAAGCTAGAATTAATTTCAAAAGTTAATTCCACTTAATCCAGTACTGTAGTCAAAACAAAGATCCTGGTTCATTCTAAATWACAGCAAATTAAGAATTTGAATACCTGTTTTCTTTTTAGAATTAAATTCGACCATCTGAATTTATTTTGAAAGCTGTGATTTGCAATACAATCTGAAGTTCTTTTTTGTTTCAGGCAATTAAACACTCATTTATTGTAATGCAAAATTCATCGAGGGCACAGGATTTTAAGCTGTACTAAGGATGTTAGAACAGAAGTATAGAAATTAAYAGRAAATATACCTTATTACRAATTTTGAGGTGCTATGYAGACCCTGTGTTTTGTGAGGGAAAWCAGGACAAAATTATGGTGTTCCTTTTAAATGTACAAATATTATTTAGAAATAGTGGTCAAAAGACACTTSTCTAGTGCTCTTTTAATCCTTTAAGAAGGAATATTTCTTGTATCAGAGAAGTGAGGGCTGTATTTCTTCCCACAGTTGCTGATTTTTAAAAATACCACTCTGACCTGTATCTAACTCAAGATTAACAAAAGAAATTAAACTGGAAGTAAAAGGTAATACCTTCTCCACTATGCCCAGATCTCCTGCAGACATCACATTTCTGACAATTGTGGCAGCTTTTTCCGCAACAGAATATGCAGAGGCCACYACACGCATGAGRAGAGCTGGAGAAGCCATGCTGAGTGCTGAAAAGAAACAAAAAGCAAACTTGTACATTTCTCTCTTCAAGAGAATARAAAGARTAAAATAYTTTACTTAWCATWTAAACAGATACAGTTTAAAYTGAGTAGAAAGGGGAAAGTGGGTTTCTGCCAGGGAGCAGTAATGAGGTGRATTTGGGCTTTTAAAATAATACAATTAACAAACACACAGATGTAAAGCTATTATAGGCAAGATCTTGCAAATATCCATGTTCTGTCTGACAGTGAATCTAGTTCTCACTAAAATAAAATGACATTATAAAGAACAACAACAGTAGCAGAAGCTCTTACCACAAATATTAAGAAAAAGCACAGTCTACACACAGTACTCGTTTTTTGCACACTTGGAACATAAATTCATTTTTTCAGAACTGAACCTACAGTTGGTTTGTGCCCAGAAATCAAGCACAAGGCTACCAGACAGGATGACGTCAGCAATTTCACTTACTATTTTCCTTTGTTTAAATATAAAATAGACTTTTGTAGATAGCCTAATTGTGGACACAAAACAGGTTAATGATATGCAGATACTGCAAACTTGTATGCCAAAGTTGAATTGAACCACCTGAATTTAACCATCCTTTCTGTATTTAACTTCTACTGATTCCTTTAAGGAAATCAATTTCCATCTTCCTTCCTCCCCTCAGCACTGCATGTCCTTGTCATTCTTCCTATTGCATTGTCTTCATCATTTGTCCCCCAGCACACACCAGTGGAATTCACTGGGCCTTCAGTTCCCAAGTAGAGTAACTATCACCTTTGGAAAGGCTGGCATTACTCCCAGCTTTTCTTTACCTCAGGAAAAAGAAGAATTGATAACCACACTCTAAAATGCAAAGCAAATTGCTTTTTATGTTTTCCTATCAGTTGTTTCCATCTGTAGATGACACACTTTTTGGCTTGGGCTCACGTGCATGACACACTTCCAGAAAACACTTGAGCACAGAGCCAGAACAAAATACAAAGGAACTCATTGATCATCACACAAAAGAAGATATATTATGTGGGAAGTATTATATAACAATCATATCACAAATATTGCAATTGCAGAAAGTACTGCTTAAGTGGCAATAGGTCATTATACAACACCCTTCCTTTCTTCCTTGAGAAATCAAGTTCATAGCTGTTCACACCAAATGGCAATGTCGTAGGTATCAGAATCCCAAATTTAGTTGATTTAAGAACTTTTTGAGCATTTTAGAAACACCATACCTGTACCTCTAAAGTCAGATGCTTTCTGAAGCTGAAGGAGTAGTGACTGTGCAAGTACATTCAAAGAGCACAGTTGCTAAAGTTAATTATTATTTCCTGCTCATGGATGGGAGCAAAGTACTCTGAGTTTCACAGAATAGCCAAGGTCCGTACCCCAAGTTACAGAGGAAATTTCAGAAATGCTACCTGTGGCAAAAAGCAGCTCTCAAACAGTTTAAAGTTGTAGAGCAAATATGTGTCGTAACACATGGAAAGATAGATGCTATTTGAAGTCTACACCATCTTGGGAAACACCAGGAAGGAAAATTGGAATGTAGTTCATTCCATATTGAAAATACTTGGAATATGAGTATTTCTGAGAAAGTAAAAAAAAAATAGCATATTAGGTGGGAAGTTTGGATTAAAGAATTGAAATGAATTATCAGATTAAGATAATTAACATTTTTTGCTCAGCTTCTTATAAAAAAAGTTATTTGATCTTTTACTGTACATTTGATCCTGCTTCATAAAATGAGAGTAAAGCTTAATTGTTTTAGAGGCTTGATTTATTTAATGCTTGCATAAAGTTTCAAAATTCTCAGAAAATAATAGAGAAATACTATCTTGCATTCTTGAAGATTGATCCAAGGTGTTTCTTAGCACTTCCTGTGGTGAACCCAAAATCTCCTGGCAAACCTTAAAATTAAAATGTTTTTATGAAAAAATAAGATTTATTAGAAGAAACTGAAATGAGAGGTTCAACACCCCTTCCTTATCACTCTGGAATAGCCTAATGAATTGCAAAGTATGTKATTACTGCAAAGGTGCCTTCAATTTTTACAGGACTACATCTCCTATGGGGCCCATCTTCTGGTGTATTGGACCTTTTTGATTAGATAAGTGAATGCAGTAGTAGGCTGTAAATTCTTCACCTCTGTAACTTTTTGATCTCAAATTRATTTATTAATAGGTTTATGGCACATACTTTCTGATGAGAACAATGTCTAATGTACACTCCCACAAGGCACTTAAGAATATATTGCTTGCTTTGGACAAAAATAGTTTGATTCTTACAAAACTGTGCAGTTTACAAATATTGCACAGCAGCTATCCCTCAAGTTAAATTTGGGTATAATTTTAAAACACACCTTGTCCTCCAAAGACTATCCCTCCCTTTCTTCTAGCCCAGTAAACAAACTGTTGAATGATCACAACAAATCAGCCTGTTCTGTAACCTACTAAAATAAATTTCTCCAATTCYTGTTCCACCTTTTAATTCTGATGTATGTAAGAACCACAGGCTGACTACAAATAATTTATCAAAGCACACATGACAGATTTGATGTTTGTCATTTAGTCTCTTTTATGCAAACTTCCACTTTCCAAATTTAAGATTTTGCCTGCTGAAAGGAGAAAGTGAGCATCACACAGAGCACGTCCTTAAATGCAAGTGCTAAACCATGATTTCTTTCTTGGAACTCTTCAATGCCCAAGCGACCAGAGCTCCCTATTTCTTTACAATAAACTTCGGCCCACACCTAGTAAACGATAAATTTTTCATTATGTAAGGGAACAATATTTACCCAGCAGAAGCAGACTAGGACTCGGAGTGGTAATCCCTGTGTAAACTGCGGTTTGCCTGCAGAATTCCTAGTGGGAAAGGGCTACGCTGCCTCATTTCACCAAAAAGAGAGAGAAAAAAAAAAGAAGACTGTTCCTGGTTCTCTTGCCGTTAATATTCCCGGCGGCAAAGCGCAGTTAGGGGCAGTGTCCGTCAATGCACCGAGCGGAGTGTGGCCGGACACAGCACGGGCGGTGGGGGATGGCAGGAGCGGCTGTGCTGGCGCAGCACCAACCCMCCGTCTGCAGCCGCGCTTTTCCCTGCATCTCCTGCGGCCCGTCCCCTCGCCCAGGAGGGACCCGCGTCCCAGCACCGCCGCTCCCCTCCCGCAGCTYACCGTGGCCTCCGTGCCGGCTGTTTCAGGACTCTCCACTCCTCCAAAGCGCCTGGGAGCGCCCCGAACCCTTCCGGCTCCGGGCGGGGCCCCTGCGCTGGCCCGGCCCGTGGGG